TTCAAGCTCTTAGTTCCAAGGTCTGCAATATTGTGCTTCCCATCCACAGGGTGCACACTCAAGAATTCACGGGCATATTGTTGCAACCGCAACATCTTCGCTTCTAAATGCCCGATTCGTCCGGCACCTTGGCGAGCGATAACACCTCTCGCGGCTGCACTGTCAAGTAGCAGATGGGATTCCACCTTGCCTCGAAGCACAAACTCGGCAGCGTTCCTGATGAACACTTGGTCGCATGTGCCCGAGGCCGCGCTTGCATACTCGGACTCTCCGGAACTAAGTGCTTTGTCTTTTGCGTTCGGCTGCTGCTACTAAGCCGGTGTCCGCTCAAGCTGATTATGCAACCTGAGACGGATTTACGATGCTCTCGGTCTCCGGCCCAATCGGCATCAGCGTGTGTCTCCAGCACATCGCGACCGGCTTTGCTTTGCACGCTTAATTATGCCAACACCACGCGTTGGCACTGGGAACCCGGTTTTAATGCCACAGCTGCTCGTGCCCTTCCAGCAAAGAATCATATGTCGAAGCACGCGGAGTGCTCCTGTGGTAGGGCGGCTCATGTGCTGAGCCAAGCAGCGGATTCCAAACTGGGCCTCTACGACATCAGCTTGCAGATAAGGCAAAATGCCTACGGCAGTTCGGAACAACGAGCTGCGCTCGCTGTCGAGCTCCGTATCTTCAGCTGACACATTGGTCGGCATCGGGCTGGACTTCGGAGTGCTACGCCCTAGGCTGAACATTTCAACCAGGCGCTCAACATGTCGAGGGTGCGGCTGAATGACTAACAAATCATCCCGCACTAGCCTATAGCTTTTCTTCTTAAACCCAACTTCATCACCATGTGTGCACGACCAGCTCACCGCGCCGCGCACTTGTACTTCTCTTTGACACATCCAACCATCACTTCAAGCCCTGGCCGCTGGCCCTTGCCGAACAGATCATCGACATGGAGAAGTCCTGACACACTCACATCCTTCAACCTGAACAAGGCAGGGCATGGCACGTACGGCTCCCAACCAAGCTTGCTACTAGCTACCAAGGTATTCAGTGATGCCTCATGCCACCGCACGGTGCCATCAAGTTGCCCCCGCAAAATCTTCACCAAACGAAAATGCTGCACATGCTCTTGCTGGTCTCCAAGGATTGCACGCACAATGGTGGGTATGCGCTGGTCCACTGTGAGGAAGGCGTCGGCCACATCAAGAACGCAGCATGCATGATCATCGGCTTTGTTGCGCATAAAGACACCGGGGAGTAATCGGGTCAAGAGGCTGCTCGAGGCAGGCGCAAACAGCTCGGTCTGGCCATTGTCGAGCCATGCATACTCACGGCCTACAAACCTCGATCTCCTCAGGTACTGCTGCTCGTCGCGTCCATCGGCGAACTTGCGCATCTTGATTCTCCAGCTTCGCACAAATTTGGTTGACAAGAGCCTGGATCCTTCCTGCTGTGCTTGCCTGGCTGCTGCTTCGGAGAGGGCCTCCAAGACATTCATCGACAACAGCCTTCGGATTTCAAAGTCATCGGCAGCACTGTCAATCGCAAAAATCTCAGCATCTGACAACACGGGTTCGACAGGGCCAAAAGGTCTCCACAGCTCATCGGGTGGACCATTGGCAAGGTCTGGCTCTTCACTAAAGTAATAGTCGTCCAGCCCGTAATCATACCCTTCAAGTTCATCAAGTTCTTCATGCTGAAAATCAAAATCAACCTGGGCATCGTTGTGGTAAAATTCGTTCTGCGTCACAGCTTGAAGCCTTGCCGCCTTTGCGAGCCGCTCTTCGGCGCTTGCAGGCTCGCCGTCCCCGCCTGCCCCGCCTGCGCTCGACAACGGCTGGTCCGGCTGGACAGCTGGAATGGCTGCCTCGCCTTCGACACCTTGCATGGCATCCGGCTGAGCATGCTCGACTTGCTCTGCCTCAGAGGCGCTTGTGCTATCATCACTGCTGTCTCGTCCTGCATTTGCACTACCACTTGCAGCTTCACTGGGCGAACCGTCAGGGCTCGGCACGGTGTCGGGATCAGAGCCTGCTTCATCTCCAGCTCCAGACAGCAAGGGGCTCACAGGGCCCAGCCCAGCGCTCAGGTGTCCTGCGGATGGACCGGGTGATCAGGAGCTTGCCTCCTCCGGTGACAACCAGATGGCCGTCACTTGCATTGGCCTTGCCCAACCACATCGCGTGCACACACTCTGCAGAACCTTTTTCACAGGCTTGTTTGTCATTGCTGTTCGGCACATTGCCATCACACACTCGCCAAACTCAACCAGCTTTCCAGTGTACGGTGCGGTCTGTTGGTCGCGGGCAACGCAGAACCTGTTGAGGATCCAACTGCCATGGCGCACCGCCCATGCATGGAGTGGGTGCTGACGCGTGGACTCCACTGGTTGTTCAAGCCGAGTTCGCTGACCCAACCGGCCGCGGGCTTTCTGGATCTCGCTGTGAATGCTGCGGCAACTCGGTTCAGGGTCGCAGCGAAGTGTCACATCGTTGTATCCAATTCATTGCACAGGCGAACAACCTCGCCTGTGAGAAGCCTGATGCTTTCAGAGCCACCTTTGCGCTTGGTGGGAATGGCCTCACGCCAGCCAGTGTCACGGTCCTTGATGCACAACGTGATCAGCTTACTCTTGGGATCAACCTCTCTGCCCGTAAAGCCAAAGTCAAACGAGAGGACAGACACCGAATGCTTAGGATCAGCTGATGCCACGGCTTTGTCACTGCGTGCTTACTAGCTTCACCCCAGCCCCGGGTTGGTCCCACTAACATGATGTTTGAATTTATTCAATTTGACAAATACAACACAACAAAAAGTGGCCCAATGTTTTTGGACTTGAAACTGAAGAAGGTAAAACGGTTTAAAATCGGTGTGCTTGTTGCCGTTTAGGATTTCGTGTCTACTTTTTGTAAGGGAAAAGGCCGGCTACGACCCGCACCCGCCTCTACGTGGCGTCGCAGACTAGTACCCCGAATGGGGGAAGCTAGGAGGTGCGGATTCTTCAAAAGCTGACGAATCTCTTGAGAGGACTCCTGAGGCTGAGGTCTGAGAACTTGTCAATATTGCCTAACTGATCACGTCGCACAAGGCTCAAGCAGAATCTTGTTTTGGGTTTCGGCATGTTCGCTGTTTGGTTGCATGGTTTCCCAGAAACGTGGAAGCAAGTGCAGCAGAACCTTGAACACAGGGTGATCAACACGAGGAAGCGGCTTCCATTGCCTCAGCCAGATTGGTTTCAAGCCAAAGTGAAGCGATTGAGAGACTTTGTTCCAGAAGTGTCAGTGTTGCCCTAAATCCACGGATCGAGGTTACAACTGTTGCCTCGGTGCGCGGCAGGGGCCCTTGACACAGGTTTCAGAGGAAGAGCAACATGGGCATGAGTTTTTCCGTTTCCCAACCGATTATTTTACTTTGAAGACCGTGGATTGTCAGAGGGTTGCACAGGCACAGTCCTTGAATTTTGGTGAGGCAAAGAAGTGGAAGCTATTGTGCGATGAGCATGGGAGGGTCTGCCGTAGCGACCTTGCCCCTCATAGTTACGAAATTGTTCCTGCTTTGGTTACCCTTCCTTTCCATCCCCATGTACCAGGCATTGATCTGTCCCAGATCAGGTTGCAGTCACAACCTCTGGAATCAGTCGCACAATGGCGCTTGAAGCACAGAACCCGGGGCTGCTGTCTAATCTGCTCAATCAGATGGTCTATGCCATCTGCTTTCAAACGCTCGAGCCGTATGTCTCGTGCGATGCTGAATGCGTCTCCGCGCAATCCCTCAAGGATTTTGGAGACACGCTCGGACATGTCAACGTCCATATCCGAAACATCTGCAAGTGTGGGAATCACGGGCTCTGTATCGGCCCGGTCATCTTCATCGAGGTCATCATCTTCCTCGCCCTCAATTTGACTGGGGTGACTCGCAATTGACCCGACGTCCTCGTCTTCAGCTGTTACCTCTGCTGTTCTTCTCCTTCGGGCACTAGACGGGCTCGCGGGGATTCCGCTGGACTCACCCTCGGTCCGTCAGCCACTGTCATCACCAGCCAGTTCAGCTCTAAGCCGTGCGGAAACCAGCGTAGCCTGCTGCACCCTTAGCCGCCCAGGTCCTGGGACGCTGACTGCGTGCAGTTGCATTGATGCGCATCTCCTTCAGCAGCTCGCCCTTTTGCTTCTTGCGGTGCTGCAGGACGCGAATGCGTCGTGGTAGGCTGAAGCTGATCCGGCATAGATGTATGAGCCGGATTTGGTTTCGGCTGGGGAACTATGTCCCCATTGGACTCCTGTATATTTGAATCCTGCAGCGGACATCGCCCGACCTTTATACACAAACGAACAAGCTAGGGGCTTCTACCCTATGATACGCAATTAGACGAAGTGAAAGGGTGCTGTGGTTCTCCGGCTCCGCTACCAGTTTGAGACGTATGCCAGGATCTGAACGATACATCACGTTATATAGCAGCCGACTTTTACACTCAAAGCCCAAGGCGCCTGCAGTAGGTACACTGTCAAATGTGGCTACTCAGCTAGCTCGAAGCACTGACACTATGCAGGTGCAGCTAGTACAGGCTGGACTACGTAGAAAGCCAACGCGGTGCATTATATATAGCAGAGGGCTTCAGACGGGGTACTTTCACAAGTCTTAAACCTCAAGAGGACGAGGTTTGCGTGGCTTGGCCGCCTGGGACGGTGGGGTGGGTGAAAAAAAATGGTCAGCTACAGTCGCGGCATGGCAGCTTGCGCACTCAAAGCGACTCTGTGGCATGACCATCTCTGTGTACCACCCATCCCAGCAAACCCTAAACCCTAAACCACGTCAGTACCAAGGAGTCGGCTATTGTCTTCTGAGCAAACTGCACATGCACTGACAATGGGTATTGAAAATGCGGCCACATACATCTGCACAAAGATGAGGCTCAGGGCTTTGGGTTTAGAGTTTAGGGTTTAAAGTTTAGGGCTACCGCTCCAAAGGGGATCCCTCATCAACTTCTGGATTTTGCGAGACCCATCCTTGATGAGCGTTGTCAGTGCCCCAAGGTGATCAAAGGCAAGACCACCACCCCCGACGCACTGCCCGCTGACCTCGGTCTTGGGACTAGGGTTAGGGTTAGGGCAGGGTTGAGCCCTTCGGGTTTGTAGATCTTCGAACTGTCAGGAGCTCTATTTCACATCATTAAAATTGAGAATCGGAAACATTCGCCGTTGACCTTCTGTTTTCGTTCGCGTAGCTCTAAAAGGCCTTAGGAGTTTCGGATATGGAAAGAGATGGTCCAGATGCGGATCTGGCTGCAGAATGTGCATTTCAAGAACACAACACACATCAGCAACAACCTTGAAAAACGTTGTAAATCACAGTCCCACCTTCTTGGAAGTTGGTGTCATCCCCTGGAATATATGGCAGTTCGTATAAATAGCATGGCCCCAATCTAGACACCGGGCACCCACATGCCATCATCCTTACTACATCTTATTACAGGGGCCCCCATATCTTCTGCCGCACTCATCTGCCTAGATATGTTCCGCAGACAGCTGCTTGCTGTACGAGGCTCTAACGGAAATTCCTCGTACAGGTGCAGAACTACAGCAAGGGTTCCTGGGAAAACTTGCTGCAGCTGCCGCAAACAAAGGTAGACCTCCGTGTTGGCCACCCTGCCTCTGCGATGTTGCTGTGCCACGTAGCTCAGGTGGAGTTGCTTCTTTTAGCAACGTGCTTTACCCTCAGAGGCTCATGTAGTCGATTTAATCCTGTAGAATTTCCCTTGAAATTACTGGAGCAACCCTCCGCACTCTCCTGAACTTTGAGAGATTCTGCTGCGATTGCAATCCTGAAATCATCCCCACTAAAACTCCCGAAGAGCCAATCCTTGATTCCCCCTACTCACCATGAGTAAGACTTTGGCATGGTTCATACTTAGCAGCAGTATTGTGTTTACTCCGATGCAAAGTGCGAAGTACAGACAGGGGCATCCCGCATCCCAACCCTAAGCTCGTACCTCCTACACCTAACTCGAGATTCTCTGAGGCTGCTGCACAGAAGCTGCACTCAAATGCACCACCGGTGCACGGCCCGAGACCGATTCCCTTGGACTTGAAACTCTCGGCGACCTAAGGATCTGCACACCATCTGAGTTCTTGCATGATGCAAGATGCTACAACACCAACTCCCTGCCGAACTGACCCCTCACCTTTTTTGCCTCCTACTCCCTCACCAAAACAAGGCTTGGCATGCGAGTGGACGGGGGAGGGTGGTTTCTTCACTCTCTCGATCTGAAACTTCTTGAGGCACTCTATGAGGCTGGAGACATCTGTGTCTGTCCCTCTCCTCGTCTTCCATTAAGGTGCATGGCTCTTCCTCTCCGTTTTTCTTCTTCGACAGGCCATGGGAACCCTCGAGAGGGCTCGTCGGGGCCCCGCTGTCCTGACGCTCGGAGCGCCAAACAGTTCCTTCCCTGCCCTGAACACGGCTTAACACAACATCCCTTACACCTACCACTTTCAGGTCACGAGAAGCTGAGCTTCTCCCTACCCTAGCGGTTGGTGAAAATGGACATGCAGGAACTCTATACCTCTCATGAGGCACCATGCTCGCATCCAACACAAATCAACCAGAATTGCCCTCAACATGCTGGGACACTACTGTTCCCTGCCTAGCTTCGGGGTGGCAAGGAAGTGCATTTAGGAGGCACAAGTTTCCCTCGTGCAAACTGGGAGGCTTGACAAGATGACGAAAGGATATGGATACTGATAATGCACCGATCATCAGATCATTTACAAGTGAACAATCTCCCAGCATCTCCTAGCGTGACTGACAGTTTCCTCTGCCTGTGCTACCATTCTCGCTTCTCCTACTGTGCCTCCTTGACTCCGCGCTCCCTCCCTTCCTCTCTCCTCCCTCCCTCTCGCCCTCAGGGCTTATAGGGCTGATGGCCGGCTTCATCAAACGATACAGAGTTGGCGAGAGGAATATGATAGTCACGAAGCTTCCAGCAATGCCGCGCTCGACAATGACCTCTTGGCCCTGCGGAGTCGAGACATGATGCCTGAGCTCACTGTCTGCTGTAGTGACAAATGGAACTGAATTTGGGCATGTATACCGTTATGTACATATACCCATATGGAGAACATGTGTGCATCAAGTAACAGTAACAGTAAGGAAATCTAGGTGCTCCTATGCAACCAAGCAGACGTCCTGTAACATTGTGTAGAGGCAGTGAAACGACTACTGGTAGTGCCTTTAAGCTCTAAGCCCTAAACCTTGGGTTCCAACGCTCAGCCGCAGCTTTATGATGGCGACACACTGCTACGGGAGCCTCCATCCAGTAGAGCTTGCACTGGAAAAAAAAAGGCAGATATGGGTGTCCAAAATAAAAGAAGATTTTTTGGGGTCCCTACAACAGGGATGACAGTATGGTGCGATCTACATGCGGGCCCCTTGCATATGGAAACTTTCCTATTTGTTGCCATGACAGAGTACCACATTGGTGCCGATACACAACCTGCTCGCAGTCTGCCTGGCCAAGGTTTTTGCGCCATGCCTGCCATGCCAATGCCCTTCCAACGTAGCGAACGCCATTGACAAAGCCCCTATCGAATTACTGCTCCAGAGATGTTACGAGCACCCTGCGTCTTGTCTGAAGCGGCCCAAGCGCCAACGACATACCGTGAAAACAATCTACAGCTGGACAATTCTGCGACTGACCACCTTGAGCCCAGAACTCTAAACCCTGTTTCTTCGGCTTGGTCAACTACACCGCCTCTTCCCACAGCACGTTTTGAAGTTAAGGGCACTTAAGTTGTTCATCTAGGGTTTACGCTCTGGGATTTAGGATTTGAGGAATGCCTCATGCAGCAGACTAAGGGGTCATGCTTGCAAACAAGTCCATAAATAAGGGACCCAATATGGGGGATTGTATTTTGGGGTCTATGTTGGGATCCCCCTATTTTGGGAAATTACGATATAGACCCCCAAATTACTATGATTCGAAAAGACATGGGGACCTCCCCCCAATCTCGGGAAACCCTCGTTTCTCACACCAGCGTGGCTGCGCAGAAAAATGGTCCTTGCTGGGGTGAACCAGGAGGCTGGGAATAAGGCTCAAGTGGAGTGATCACTTCCCGTCACCTGAAGACCCAGACAAGTGGACGTGGCACATCTATGATAAATGCGTTTCAGTAAAAGCATGCTCAAGGCGTTCTGTGCTTGGGCCTGCTTGCATCAAAGAAAAACTAAACATGTACACATGACAAGAACTGCAAAGTGCATGCACTTCAGCAGTCCCTATGATGGGGACAGCCAAAACGTACAAAAAGGAACGCTGTGGGGCCCCTTAGGCGGCGCTGCCACCGCCTAAACGACTGCGTGATGCGAACCTGTGGCGGCCCCATTCATGTTGCGTACTATATTTCTACTGTCGCACGTCGCTCCAGAGGTACGCTTAATCTTTCGAAAATAAGTGTGGCCATATGCCCTTGGACAGCTGGAAAGACATCTTGTTCTCAAACTCCCAACAGACTCCCAAGCAAGGGTCCCCTCAATGTTGGGAACTACAAGCGTGGTAAAGGCCAATCGACGATAATCGGTGTAGGCATTTTCTTTGTTGTTGCTGCTGCTGTTATCGCGGTCGCTGTCGCTTACAGTTACTTGCCCTGAGGCCTACATCCAAAACCCAAAAGCCAGTCGGAAACAGAAGCCGAGGCTCTTGGCCTCAGCGTCTCCAGCTCTTCCATGTGCTGGGCATCACCTGAACCAGACGAAATCCAACACCCGACTCTCAGAAAGTCAGAAAGTCATCTTACTGGTGCTGAGGAGGGAATGTAGGGCTCACTCCGATTGAAGCAGTAGTAGGCGGTGCATCCGCTACGGCGCAAAAGGGGCTGGATGCGTGCGGGCAAGCAGCATAGCAAGGAAGGCTGCTGACGCGTGCAGAGGCAGTCGACGTAGTTTTGGATCGCCGTGCTCTCCTGCACTACCAGGGTTGCTATGCAGGTGGACACAATCCCCCCAAGAACTACTCACTTCGGCCCGCAACATGTTGTAGCCTTGATTGGGGATTGGTAGTTCCTGGGCAGGCTCTCTGGGACTCTCTCATGCGACGGAGGACGCTTGCACCAGCATCGTAATACCCCAAGCCTGAAACCCCAAACTCCAAACCATAAGCCCTAGGACCGAAAACAGATCTCGGGCCCAGCCTTACACAAACTCTCAGATCTCCTTGACCCAATCTGCCGCAGCAGTAAAGGTCCCGTTGCAATACTTCTCCACCGTGAAGCCGTGCACATGCTCCTAGAACTTGGGGTTGAAAGTTGCCTTCTGAAAGAACGCAGACCTTCAAAATCAAGAGCAGGCTCAAGGACATACCCTGCCCCAGACCAACATGGAACCCCAGAAAGGCCAGCACACTACCGGTGTCCTTAGGGTTTCTATGGGCTGAGTCGAAAAACCCTACACCATCCCAGCTTCCCAGGTTCTACTGCATGTTGCATCTGATCCTCCATTCCTTGGTGATCTTACCGCCTCAACTTCCTTCCGAGTCATCTGCTACCTGTTCCTATGCGCGAAGCTACGCAGAGTCCAAGGATCGTAGTGCTTGAGATCGATCAATCGCAAGCGACTCATTGTTGGCAGGTGCCTCGAGCGAAGTTCTTTAAGACCCTGAGGACCCTGAACGGTGCCCCGTTCGATAAAAACAAACATTCTGGGAATCCTAACCCCTCAAATTCAGACTACACAAAACCTCTTACATTTGGAAAAAATGGGTCAGACCACGGGCACCTAGACATGTCAAGGGTAAGCTTGCAGATATGCTGCGAATCAAAGGGAGGTTTCCGGAAAAATTGGCAAGGGGTTGAGGGTTTAGGGTTTATAGGGTTTGGAGTGTAGGGTTCAAGGTTGGGGAGTCCTTTTGAAATTTTGGTCAGGGTCACGATAAGTTGGGGTCTATAATAGCTCAGCTCCCCCCAAATTTAGGGAAACATACTTCCTGCTGTCATTGGTGCTTCTGCAGGATTGTCAGTATTAGTCCTGCCTATCCAGGAATTCTCGAAGTGAGTGATTGGGAAACCACATCAGAGGAAGGTACATGAAACACATCATCGTCTACACTCTTCGCCGTGCAAGGGTTTTCCGAACTTGGTGTGCCATATGCGAGTCCCCATACTCAGGACTATCGTATGTTGGGGTCAATGTTGTGTTCTCCCTCTTCATCGAAACTGCCAAGAATGAAAGTTCGGGAGCACCACCCATCACTTTGGGGTAGCAGTGCGTTCAGAAAGTGCCTTCCTGAATCCAAGCACTGCAGCTCAGTCGCTCGGCACTCTTCTGCGTGACATTATGCAGAAGCGCTTTGAAGGTTGCGACATTGGTGGAGTCGCTGGTCTGACCCTTGAGAAGCTTGACAAAGTGGTGCCCCACGCCATTCTCCTGCAAAAGGAAATTAGGTGGATCTCCAAAATGACCGCTCCGTAGCATGTGCATTTATCTTTTAAGGCACCCCTATCAGTCCCCTGAAGCACCCGTGAGCCCCGGCCCTTTCTGGCATTTTCTGGTCTGCAGGACCCGGAGGCCTAAGAGGGGCTTCCGAAACATGGAGGTTTGTTGGAAGTGCCCGGATCTTTTGCTTTGGCACTCTCGTTGCTCCTGGGCCCATATCTAGATTCCACGCGGAAGTATCACAACTCTCATCTTACCCGTCACAGACTTTCTCAGAAAGCCAGAGCCCCGACCCACCACAAAAAGAGCAACAAAAGGACACCACAAAAACAGAAAAAGACACCATTACGACATTGGGGAACCTAGACATTTGGGCTTATGAGAAGCTCCATTGTTTGGATCCACAAGGGGCCTAAGCCCTAAACCCTAAACTTAGAAACAACCCAAAGCGACATACACCGGGCCTCGTCATGCAAGACAAGGCTGGTCTTCGCGAAGTAGTCCAGCCTTTGTGTTTCCTTATGCCTTGGTAAGTCAAGGAAATTTGGCATGTTGACAGCCCTTCTCTTAGTTTCTTTGTTATGGCGATTCGGGCTGTACAGACTGTCTGCGCCAACAAGAAATTTCAGGCAGAAACTGCAACCCCCTAAACTCCATAAGTCAAAGACACATTAGCCTGAGGTCTTCAGGCAGTTGGGAGGATTGTAGCCCCCACCCACCAAACGCAAGCCTCATTCTAGTTTTAAGGTTGCCATAAGATCCGAATTTGGGGGGTTTGGATTACAAGACCCTGTCATTACACATAAAGCATGACTCAATCGCCATATGGGTGTTCTCAAAGCCTCAATGTGAACTTGGCTTCCTTAGTCCTCCAGAATCCCCGCAAGTCCCCTTAGCGTTGGTAGCGTACGTGAAATACATATCAGACTTTCTCGATCCGTGGTACTACACTTGGCAATTATTCAGACTTCTACATTACACAACCCTTAGACCCCCAGAAAGGCCTCGTTTGCACTTCAGTTTCCATTTGATTGTCTATATTTTGGTATATGATTAGGTCGCCGGCGCACCCCTCTTCCATGCACATGAGGTAACCAATATGGACAGTATACAGTTATACAGTTACAGATATTCACATGAGGGCGGGCCAGTAGCATTTTGGACGCCAGGGACACGCCGATCAACTCGTTGCAATCAGTGACGTGTCCAAACCTTAGGGGGGATTGTATGATCTTTTCCCTGCGAGATGTGCATAGGGGTTTAGGTTTCGGCAGAAATAAGCATGGACAGAATGGCTACCGGAGAATTCTGGAACCCTAAGCCCTAAACCTGCGAGAATGCGCAAGCCTCTTTGCAAAGGCAACCCGGCAACCACGAAGCCTTGCGTTGCAGATATCGAACGTCATATGTAGATGGGTACCCTGTGTTTGGGAAGTCCTCTGATGGTTTGGGGATTATGCTGATGGGCCCCAAAACGGTGGACCTCAACATGGCTTGATATCAAATCGCTTACTATGCTTGTTTAAACGGCCTTGCAACAGTGTTGTCCACCCATGCTGAAACTTCAGACCGTGCACCCCCAATCCACCATGTCCAATCCACTCCGCCACCCCCAGCCCCCCACGGGTGAAGTTTGACCAAGCTCGGAATGAGCCATACCTGCACAGAATTTTTTGACGGCTCCTCATACAAACTATGCTATTTTACGGTATATCAAAGGAGCAGGAACTGCGCTTTGGGGGGCTGGTGCCATGTCTTTGTACGGCATGTAGCTGGAGCATGTCTCGGCTTTGCCCCAAATTTAAATATATCTACCCTACGCAATGAACCTTAAACCCCAAAGCCTAAAACTTAAACCCTACAGTTGCTGGAAGGGCTTCTCCAAATGGACCCACCTTTAGCCCTCAAGGCGGGCCTGATTGTAATCTGCTCAGATTGAATACCCATATGTCTTCAGGGCTCCCGAAGTATTGATTTTCGCAAACCCAGGAGCTTTCCGACAAAGAAGTCCACATCCATGACCTCCCGGCTCTAAGCAATGAATGAGCCTTCCCTGAGGTCACACAAAATACGCTCCAAACCTTAAGCTGTGCACGCTGCAGAATAAAAGAACACGTCAACATTTTTAATTGCCATCCTCGACCATGGGAACATCAACGTCAGCCATGCTTTGCAAAACAAGCCCAAATCCCGCTGCCCAGGTAAGGTTTAGGGTTTGAGGTTATGGGTTTTTAGGGTCGCGGCTCAGCAGCCCACGTTCCAGCAGCCTTTCTTCGAGTTCGCTATTTTTGGTATTGGAAACCATCCTAAACCTTAACCCTGAGGCCGAAATCCTGACCCGCAACAAATATGCCAAAGCTCTCGAAGCCTGGCCAAGGCCCACGCTAAGCTGGCTTTCTGGCAAGCCCACCCACAGAAACACGTGAGAGTGAGAGCACTTGCAATCGGGCTCAAGGTTGTTCTATGTGGGGGGAGTCCATCCTTTTCAAAACTCCATACGACGACGTGTGCAGTAACTTTCTTCATGATTCCAAATCTGAAATGCTTGTGTATTTGATCTTCATATCTGCTCTCGCGCAGAGCGTGCAAAAAAGGACTTGCTCGGCCCGCATCTGCCGGCTATGAGCCCCAGCTGTTAGACGGCTTCCGGCAAATAGTTACAGTATCCTGAGATTTCGCGCCATGGCATCTCCAGAGTCTGAAACAGATCAGCCTAGAGCATCTGAACGGTCAACCAGTCCGCGTTTGGGTGAATCCGTGACAGCTGCATTCGAGGCTGCGCAACAAGAACATGCTGAGGATCGTGCTATGCAGAACGCACCAAACATGCAAGAGCATGTACTGGAACCTGCATACTTCGATTCGCAGCGAACACGCAGAATCGCAACAAGAAGCTGCTGCAGGAGGGAACTTTGCAATGCAGGGTTCGGCTGAGGCTCTAGAGGGATTTGTTCGTGATGATGGGGTGGATGGTCGTGAAGCGGCTCGTCGGCTTGAGCGGTCTCCAAGAAGGGCTGGTGAGACCAGCTGCAGTAACAGGCACAAGGATGATCAGGAGTTGGTGCCAGATTATCCTGCTGAGCTCCTTCGCACAAGCCCGGGAAGTCAGGACGAGATGCAGGTGGATCTACAAGGACAGGTGCTGCACTCTACAATGCAACATGACATCATGGTGCAGGTGACGGCAATGATGAGAGACCTATTGGCAAATCATGGCAAATCAGCTGGCCTTGCAATGCAAGCCCTAGCCTCGGCTCAACAGGATTTGGCAATGAGACCCGAGAGAATGGAACGCAGAGGAATGAGTGCAGAGACTTCGGTAGGAGTAGAAACCGATTTGAAGCAAGGTTGGCCTGCAGAAGTTTCACCAGCTCATGCGCGTCAGGACCTAGCAAATGCATCTTGCCCTAACCGTGCTGAAGTGGCCAGTCTTGCCTGTTCGAGTGAGAGGACGATGAACCATGATGCTCGCCATGAAAGTGCCAAAGCTGCGGCGCGGGAGTTGAAAGGAGTGGTCAAAATCAATGGGATTTCACACTGGATTCCACACGCTACACCAAAGGGACTGCAGCTTACCAAAGTGGAAGGTCAAAGCGCTGAGAGTCCTAAGAGTGTGTTTAATCCTCGCGCCAGCTCGCCATTCACTCCCACTCGTCGCCAAGCGCTGCCCGCTACCGGTGTAGGACCTTGTGAGTCGCCGAAAGATCGTACAGAGACCAGTGACACAGTGTTGAGTGACAAGGGTTTGGTTTGTGTCGTTGAGAAAATGGGCAGGGTTTCTGGCCCTCCGTGGAACGCCGTCGTGATACAACATTTCCTGTCCCCATCGTGAAACAGAGAATCGTGTATTCGAATAGCTCAGCTGGAACAGACATCACAAGCAAGCCGCTGCCGTTATCAAGAGAAATGTCGAATGCATTGAGTGCGGTAGGACGGTTAGCTGTTAGCTCCTCAGACTGCTCTCCCCAAGCCGCCTTTTTCGTGGGGTCTTGGATTCGGAGGTTATGGGTTAGGGTCTTAAAGTTGGCACGCGCAGGAGTGGCCGAATGCAGGACCAAGCATTGTGTACCCCAACATTCCACATGGCCGATGACTCCGATTCCCCCTATTGTCTTCCGGCCCAACGGCCCAACGCCGCAAACTGTGGAAGTACTGACAAAAACCCATGCGCTATCCCGAAGCTTTTCAAGCCGGGAACGGGCTTGCATCGACCGGTGGGTGATGAGTTCATTGAATGCTGCGGCAGCCACTTGGTGGAATGATAGTTTGGGCTGTGCTGAGAGAGGTTACCAAGTTTGGGTTAAATCCTCTCCGTTAGATCGTTCAGAATCGTTATGTTGCAGGCAGGTACAGTAGAGTTGAACAGAAGGCCGTCACCCTGCTGTTAGAAGCGGACCAATGAGAGCAGAGAGGACATCATCTCAAGCCGCCTCCTGAATACCCCACTGTCATTCTGAAAGTCATGACGAAATATCAGCCCAGGTTCTGGAGAGAGAGCTCAACTTTTAGCTTTCTTGACATCGCCCAAAACCCTGATAGCCCAGTAGCTGCCGTGAGACTGATCCGCAAGTGGAAGAGATGGTTAACTCGCGCGCGCGCGCGAGATCCAAGTCACTCCTCCCAATTGCACCCTTGAGGCTCGCGCTCTTGAGTTGCTCACTCCCAAAACGGGGCTCTCATCTACTGCTACATTTCGGATTCGAGCCATGAAGACCCAGCTTCTCATTGGTCAGGCCCCTTCGCAAGGCTCAGTGCTTCAGCTTGCGGAGTTGTTGTTAACTGAGTGTGAGTCTGCTAGCATCGGCGATGCCAGTTCAGACAAGAAAGCCGGCTTGAAGAAGATTGAGGCTGGAGACGGACAGCCGAGTGGAGGGAAAGCGGATGGAAGAGGGAAGGATCAATCTAAAGGGAAGGCGGGAGGAGGTAAGGGAGGGAAGGATTTAAGACCATGTGTTCATTGGCTTAAGGATCAGGCTTGTTTGTATGGAAAGGCCTGCAGATGTGCTCGTGATGAAAAGAGTTTGAAAAAGGCTCCGGATTGCAAACAAGCGGTGTTTCACTTGTTCGGCTTTGGGACACTTCGGGGACACGTGCCCTATGGCAAATGGCAAGCCGAGGGAAGTTCCTGAAACAGATTCGGCGGAAAATCTGGTCAGGCTAGTGCCGGGGCTGTTGGTGGGAGTCAAACTCAACCTGAATCCGCTTCTGCGTCTAAAGGGGCGCTTCTAGAGAAAACCAATAAACTGTTGAGATCGTAACAGGCTAAGAGTCTCCAAGCTATGAATACGAGTGTCATCAAAGCTTGTCGTGAGCTGTCGGTTTGCTGGATTCGGGTGCTACCACGTGTCTTAGATCACCGATTCCAGGAGAGGACCTCGACCGGTATGCTACAAAACATGTTGCACTTGCTGCCGGTTCTACGACACTCCGGGTAACCAGGTAACCCCTACCTGTACTCTGATTGGACCGCCTGGGACCGAAACTATCGGTGCTGTGGGATGCTTCGTCCAGTTTGCATGCAGAGTTACTTGGCGTGGTGTGAGGTGTACGGTGATACACCCTGACAGAGCTTAAATTGCGGTCACCACGCTATGCGGATGTCCAAAGGTCACCCGTGAAATCGCGTTAGCGGTTATCCGGGATATTGAAGAGCACAGGCTCAACCAGACCACCCATATGGTTGAAGCAAGGCGCTTGGCAGAGACGGCAGTAGGAATGCCGTGTCCAAGGGTTTTGGGTCAGGCTGTGAATGTCATCCAGGAGGGAGGTGCAGTTGTGCCGTGGCTTGGCGTGATGCTTCGGAAGGCGTGGCCTGACATTCCTTCGTCCGTGCTAGGTGCTGCGTGGGCTACGTGTTTTCAGCAGGGTCATGCAACACCCCATAATAGGGGTCAGCGGAAGCGACATGACAGGACACGTGGGTTAGTGGTAAACTTGGTTGCAGGGTCGACCCAGCGTTCCGTACACCGCGTCTGTGATGAAGAACCGGTGGTTCAGGTTCTTGGGGAACTAAAACAAGAATTTGAGGTCCCAGCGGCATTCGGGTCTTTGTTGCAACCTGCTGCGAGGGGAAAGATTCCGGCGATTCTTGCAGGGCCATCGAGCTCTACTTACACTAGCGGAGGTGGTGATGGACCGCCTGGGCCTCCATCGTCAAGAACTCGAAGCAGGAAACTTTTCTCGCACCTAACTTGGGAACAGTTTCAAGAAGTATATCGAGCTGATGAGCACATGTACAGAATATTTGTTGTCATGCTTTTTGCTGTCACTGCTACTCCTATCGACCAAAAAATGCTATGTAACTTGGTAGGAAACCCCGAGGATCCAGATCACGATGTGTGTTCGGGTGTTGCGGCCATTGAGGCTCCACATGGTTACCCAACACTTTGGGAAACATCTATTTACAAACAAGCTCATGTCAACCTGGTTGACTTACACAAACCCATGGAGATCAAGGTCCGTATAGACATACGGGAACCAAGCCAACCACGTGGGCCTCCAACAGACCCCTTCGTCAAATGGCCAATCGAGCGCCGAGATAGGAGCGGATGAGCCAGGGTTAGGTCCGCTTCAGAAGACATCACCTTGGTCCGCATGAGCCCTGGAGTAGTCCAGCACTTGATGGATGAGCTGCATGTGGCTTTGGGCATGTCGGGTAAAGAAAGCGCTCTTCAATTATGACGCTTCCAGTAGACGCGGTCACCGGCCACCGTTCCATGGATGCCCACAATGTGTCCTTGGACAGGCGTGTCAGCGCCCGCGTCGCAGGGCGCGGAGTCCGGAAGCTTTCACCTCGAGCCTGGATTTGGCGGGTCCATATGCCATATGCGAAAAGGCTCCACCACATTTCGTCGAAGAGGATGCAGATCTAGTGCTAGTGTTACACCACCTTAGAGGCTGCGGTGGCCTTGAGATACCGGAGGAATGGAGAGCCGTTCTTCCTGCTCGTTTGAAGTAGTACGGTCGGCTGCTGCAAGCATATCTATATAGGCGATCGACAGAAAGGCTGCTTCAGAGTGTGT